CTCACACACACAAAAAAAAAAAAAAAAAAAAAAGGCACACAATAGTGAAAATATATCATAACATTTCCTGCTAGGTTATAACTGTCTGTCTCTTCCCTCTGTGACATAAAAATTGAAATTACAGTCAATCTATATTTGTGAAAGAGAAAGTATTTAGACAATCTTGAAACACTGGTGGAGCTATTTTTAAAAATCCAGAAAAGACATACTTAAAACCATTGGAACGTTAAAAATATAAAATAAAACCCTATTAGGAAGAAAACTGTTTTTAATTATCTAGTACACCAATCCAATTCTTCTTTTAAATGGGAGTAAACTCATAAAAAATGCACTGTGAGCTATTCTGAAGTTCCAATATCATGAGCAACATTTAAGAGTAAGTACTCAGCTACACAGCTATTCACTGTACAGACATACACACTCACATACAGATATACATATAGTCTCTAGATATTAGACATAGAGATACAGTGAGTTCACTGTCAGTGATGATCTGCAGCTCTGGACCCTGTTCTGTAATAGTATCTTTGCCCACATTATTATAATTTAATCCTCACAGTGGCTGTACAGGAAACATGGTGTTATCCCTACTTTACCAGTGAGAAAAACAGGTTAAATGTCCTGACCAAGCCAGTGTATTCTAATGGCAAATAATTTGGATGGGCTTTGGAATAGTACTGACCAGAGTTTAAATGTGTAAGCCATGTGCCTTTGAACAAATTTTTCTATCTCTAATTCATCAACATTGCTTACATTTAAGTGCTTGCTTCATGCCAGGCACTGATATGATCAGTTGACATGTATTAAAACATTTATTCCTCAAAATAACCTACAAGGCAGTCATTGTTATTACCTACACTTCACAGGTAACAAATACTGGGCTTAGAGAGGCTAAGTGACAGGTATTAGGCCACAGCTAGTAAGCAACAGAACTATCCTTTTAATCAGGCAACTTAATCCCATAGTTTGCACTCTTAATCACTAAACTTTAAATTCTAAAGTAGAGATGATAGTACCAATTGCATACATTTGCCAGCTGGATTTTTGGATAGTGCTTACCACAGTACCTGCCCCTCAGGAAGCATTTAATAAATAACCGTCACTGAAAACAACCAAAATAAATCCCCCAATTAAATAGAACTATGATTCTAATCTGGTGCTTCTAACTCCAACATTCACATGTGTCCTCTCTGCCCCTACATCACATTCCCCTGAATAGAGGCCTTGCCAGGATGGCTGGGTTAATAAAGTGCTTTAAATATTGCCTGTACATTTATATTGACTCTGAAAATAGCCTATTTCATGGGGTAACTGTAGTTGAACCAAATGTTGCTGTGGCCGAGGGAAAAGGACTAGCAATGGTCAAATGAAATTATAGTCGAAAAACCAAAGAAAAAAGAAAAATTGAAGAGACAGTCCCGTCTTCCAAATAAAGCGTGAGAAGGCACATTGTTAAAGTCATTTGGAGCTGGCCCCGTCTAAGCTTTCACCATAGGAATGCTCTGGCACCCGCTACCGAGGGCATTGGGCTACTTAACAGGTCTTTTCATCTCTAATTTTTTACTTGACTAGGCAGCTCTCTCGTACCCGAGTTTGGACATTCATCCAGCTGGCACTGCTGATTCTGCTTCTATATGCCATTGCCATTAAGTTCGCCAGGGAGGACACTGTGCTAGCAGAAACGACAGATTTCTAAGGGAAGAAAACAACCCAGCAGAAATACGGAGAAGGCTGTTTCTTCGCAACAGTGTGAGGGGCTGGTCCGAGGGTTAGGTAATGGAATTAAGGGATCAGTCAGTCTCTGCTTGGCCTGCAGCCTACATGAGCAATCATTATTTGTAGCTTGAAACTGTCTGGGAGCTAATTAAATAAAGGTTAATCTCCGATTATTTTGTCAGAAGAGCTGGTTTATTGCCTTAGCTATTGGGACAATGAGTAGTCAGTGAAGACACTGAGTGTCAGAGCTCCCCGCAGAGCAGGGAGGAGACACGTCGTGAAGAGCAGACCACGTCAGAGGAGGCATTTCACCTTCTCAAAGAACAAAAAGTTTCCTGTCCTGTCAGAGTCCCAACCCAAACGGGAGGTGGACAAATACTCCAGAAGAACTGTGAGTGCCTTTCTGCATGGAATAAAACTTCAGAGCTGTGGGCATGTAATTATTAGAGGATTTAAGGCCATTTTCAAGGAAGAATTACCCTCTGACTCTGGGTACACTGGAGACGAGAGCTGTGGAATAATCCGTGAATCACTTTGCGGTCTCTGTTGTGGCCAGAGAATGCCAACACTAAGCCCTGGTTCAAATGCCACTTGTGTCTGTATTTATCTGGAAACATAGAAAGGTAAAGCTCCATTACTTGTGAGATTGTAGATTATTGAATTAACCAATATCTGTGAAAAACATAGTTTTACACATTTATTCAAATCCATAGAATGCACAACGCCGAAAGTGAACCATATGTAAAATATAAACTCTAGGTGATAACTATGTGATAAGGGAGGCTCATCAATTGTACAAATGTGCCACTCTGGTGGATTGTTGATAATGGGGAGGGCAGAGGGCATGTGGTATATCTCTGCATGTCTGGGGTCAGGAAGTAGGTATATGGGAAATCTCTACCTTCTGCTTCATTTTGCTGTGATCCTAAAACTGCTGTTAAAAAAAAAAAAAAAAATCTATTTAAAAAATCCTGTTGAGAACATTTAGGCAGAACTGCTGGAAAAACACATAATATGTGTGTGTGTATATATGTGTATTGTCTCTCTTCTGTGAAGGCAGGGGCCATGACTGTTTTTGCTTATCACTGTACCCAGAGCATGTAAGAATACAGTAAGTGTGATGAGGATCACATGAAGGAAAATTCATCAGTTCTTTCAGATAGTCTGAAGGTTAGCCCTGAATCAAACCAGAGAAAACTAGAGTATGTCTGGATTTACAGTTGTTAGGAGACAATTCTCCAAGGATCGTTCCCATTTCTGCACATCTTATGAGAAGAGGCACTGATTCCCTGGGCTCCAGACTATCTTTTTAAGAATGTTTATATAGCAAACAACATTGGAAGACAGAAGTTTGTTTACTGCCTCATGCAATAAAGGTAATGTTTCCCTCTGGAGCAAAGGGGACACATGCTCACCTCCCATCATCAAAGAGTCAAGTTCCCTAAGCTCAGGGCTCCTCTCCTGTAATACAACCTATGGCATGTGCAGGTGTCACCTACACCTCCTTGTGCTGCCTATGGGCATTGTGGCTCCTAGAACTGGCAAAAATGCTGATATTCAGGCTACTGCTATTCTATGAATAAATAAACAGTCCTTTGTCTTTGACCCAGGAGTCTCGTGTCTCTTGCCAGTGTCCATGTACTGTGCACATTAGCTTGCATGTACAGTAAAATCTCAACCCTTCATAGTAAAATCTCAACCCTTCATAGTTCTTGACTATACGATTGGCTCATTCCGAAATATTTTATTAGCTAATCTTTGGTATAATGCCATCACCTACGTTCAAGTCCACTGTAAGAACCAGCCATGAAACTCTACTGTGCACAGGAAGAGGGTTGCTAGACATTGCTTACTAAATTGTATAGTATCCTCTTTATAAACACTCTGGAGAAAAAACTTTAACTGTTCTTTATGTGAAAAGAGATTGTAATTTTTTCAGAGCAACTGTGTTTATTTTGTGACAGCGTAACCAGGTTTCTCATTCTGTGTTGACTGCTAGAAAACCAGAGCCAAACATGTCCTCAGCCCGCACTAAGTGTATAGTTCTTTGCGGAGTGCATGTTTTGGCATCATGCCTGGCTTTATTTTCCATCTCCACCCTTATTTCTTGCTACTTTACTTGGAGTCTTAATTTATGTGATTTTGTAAATTTTTTTTTCTTTTTCTAGAATAAGGTGAGGAATAAACAAACTTCACACACAGGAGTTACATAAAAGATACGTGTCAAACTAAGAAGCTCTGCATAGCAAAAGAGACGATCAACAAAGTGAGAAGGGAAGCCACTGTATGGAAGAACATATTTGCCAATGATATATCTGGCAAGGGACAATTTCCAAGATATATAAAGAACTTATACAACTCAACACCAGGAAGACAAACAATCCAATTAAAAAGTGGACAAAGGACCTGAATAGACACTTCTCCAAAGAGGACATATAGATGGTCAATAGATATATGAAAAGATGCTCAATGTCACTAATCATCAGAGAGATGCAAATTAAAACCACAATGAGATATCACCTCACACCTGCCAGAAGGGTTCCATCAACAAGTCAACAAGCAACAAATCGAGGATGTGGAAAAAAGGAAACCCTCATGCATTGTCGACTGGTGTAGCCACTGTGGAAAACAGTATGGAGTTTCCTCAAAAAATGTAAAATGGAACTGCCTTTTGGGAATATGTCCCAAGGATCCTGAGACACCAAATTGAAAGAATATATGCACCCTTATGTTCATTGCAGCATTATTTACAACAGCCAAGATCTGGAAACAGCCCAACACCCATCAGTAAATGAGTGGATGAAAAAGCTGTGATACATTTATACAATGGAACACTCTGGGGCTGTAAAAAAGAAGACTCTTACTTTTTGCAACAGCATGGATGGACCTGGAGGTTATTATGCTAAGTAAAATAAGCCAGTCAGAGAAAAACAAATACCACATGATCTCACTT